GACTGGCTGGGTAAAGTGGAAGAAGCTATGTTCACGTCCCTGCGTCGCCTGTGCAAAGCTGCCATCGCCGATTATCAGGGGAAACCAAGGACAGACTGGGTGGTTGCTGGCCACCCTTCTCAGGTAAAGAGTTCATGAAATTTCCAATTCTGGGTCCTTCTTCGGTGATATATATTGTGTGTTTAAAGCAAATATTTGTCTTTTTTTCAGGTTATCCTGACCATTTCTCAAATTATGTGGTGCCGGGATTTGACTGAGTGTCTAGAATTGGAAGACAGTAACCATGTAGAGGCCCTAGAAGCTTTTGAAAAAGTGAATTTTGAGGTGAGATTTTTAACAGAGTGATACTGAACATACTGCATTGCAGCGGAGGATCATTTCAGTGGATTTTGTTTAGCGTGGTTTGTGAAAATTCACTGTGCTTCTGAAATTCTAATGCGCTATCTCTGAGTTATCTTAAAGCTTTGGGGGGTCTCACTAAAACCATCTGTGTTCAACTTAAGGAAACACCATTGGTGATCATTTCATATGGAAGTGGACAGTTACAAAAAGCAGAAGGGAAAACAGCTCAGGAAGAAAATATCAGGATTGCAACGGTTTGCATCTCTTAAGGAATAATTTATTAATTAGGCCCTAACTGTCACTCTTAGAAGTTTATTTAATCCAGAAAACATCAGGATTTGTGCCCTTTCCATTCTGAGGCTCAAATGTTCTTTTCCGTTACAGACCAATCAAACAACTATCAATGAAACAATAAGCATTGGAAGAATCTACCATTCTGTAAAATGTTTTTAGCTTCAATTGGAAAATGCTGCTTTACAGCAAAGCCTAGCCTACCATCTTATAATTGTTAGGAGATAGTACAGTACTGTTAATGATAGCAGCATGGGCAGCAGCACTATCAAACCTGTTCAGCATGCACAGCTGGAAATTTCTAGCCTCTGAACAACTTCCCATCACCTCCTCTGCCCAGCCCCTGACTGCCCCCACTCTACTCTGCTTATAGGGTTGGACTTAGACACTTCACTTGGGAGAAACCACGCCTATTTGTCCTTCTGTGCATGGCTTAAAGCCCTCCACATTTACCCATATTTTAGCAGAGGAAAGGACTTTCATTTTCTTTCTTTAAGGCTGGATGATACTCTATTATACGTGCACATCACATCTTTTTTTAATCCATCAATAGACTTTTAGCTTATTTCTACCTCTTGGCTATTATGAATAATGTTGCTATTTACATATTCACTTAAGAGGGCAGACACTACCACAAGATCCTGATTTCAGTTATTTTGTATGTGTGCCCAGAGCCGGGCTTGCTGAGTCAGATAGTAATTCCATTATTCATGTACTGAAAAATCTCTACTCTTTTTCATAGTAACTGCGCCATTTACACTCCTACAAAATGTGGGTAAGGATTCCCTTTCTGCCACATCCTTGCCAATTCTTGTTACCTTGTTATTATTGGTAATGGGCATCCTGACAGCTCTGGGATGACATCACATTGTGGTCTGGGTTTTAATTTCACTGATTATTAGTGATATATGTGCCTTTTCCTATACTTTTTGGTCATTTGTAGGTCTTCCTTGAGAAATGTCTATTCAAGTCCTTTGTCTACTTTTTAATTGGGTTACCTGGCCTTTTGCTGTTGCACGGCAGAATAGCTTAGACCTTTATCTTAAACCATATTGCAAAAATCAACTCAAGTGGGCTAGAGATTTAAACTGGACTTGAAACTATGAAATTCCTGGAAGAAAACACAGGTGAAATGTTTTATGATGTTTGTATTGATTTCTTGGACATAATACAAAAGCACAGCAACAAAAGAAAAATAATCAAGAAGATTTGCTGAAAAGCTTTTGCCTGGCAAAGAAAGAATGACCAGTGTAAAAGTGGGTAACAAGGAAAAATAATTGCAAACCTGCTATGTGATAAGATAGGCATAATCTCAAATTCAAATATACTCCCAAATAATGCTGCACTTTTCAAAGATTTGCCTTTCAAACAGAAAAAAGAGAGAAGAATTTTCTACAACTAAGAAGAAACATTTTCATGATGCTGTCAATGGAATTTCATCTCCACAGCCTCAGAAAAGAGAAATGAGTCCCCAAAGGCAGTGCCACTGACCTTTATGCAAAGGTGGCCCTGGACCAGCGATGGCTTAAGTGAAAATTCAGCACAGGGCTGCATGACCCTCAGAGACCCCACTCTCCTCTGAAAAAAAAAAATGACTTATGTGAACAGCAGGAGCTAAATCTTTCCCAAAATGTTCTCATTTAGTCAGCCACTGTTTTGGTTAAAATACTGAGGCTTTCTGATTATGAATAGGAAAATCTACCCTGAAGAGTAT